ACTCATATTAGAGAAAAAGTCTACTCTAAACTGGTTTTATATACTTAGAATAGAGTCAAAAGTCGCTCAGTTGATAGTTAGCAGTAACTCGGATTTGAGTAAAATAGCCCGGTCAAAATAGACATTTCAAATAACGAAAATTCCGACAGAGCTAAATTTTTATAAAGACCTTGGGTACGCCATTAGAAATAAAGTGTCAAAAGTCCCCATCGATCCCATGTGTGCTAAAAAAGTTATTCGGGGTCAAAGGTCAAAATTTGAGGTGTTTTGGATTTTTTTGAAAATGGTAAGTTTTATCAAAAAAGGAGCCCTGACAAAAATTATAGACCTTAAAATTATTTACAAAAATGGTCCTTATACTTTTTTTTCTAAGAATCACCATTCCTGAGATATCGTGATTCTAATAGTTGACGGAGTCACGTTCTGCATGATATGCACACATTTCCACACCACCTGTGAGGTGGTGTGGTGAGGTACTTTAGCGCGTTTTTTCAACGTGGTTTCCCCGGTAGGTGTACTCCACGAACTGTTATGACGGAATTTTCAGGGACAATACTCTTTTAACTGCATGATGATTATTGTTGATATTGATATTGGTTATTGACTTTAACAGTAGTTCTGATCTCTTTTGATATTTTAATCTGATTCATACTCTTCAAAGTTGACTTCAACAGTTATGTCTTCTTCGATTTCTTCTTCTTCTTCCTCTTCTTCTTGTTGGATGTTCATAAATTGTTCAAATGAAGGTGAATCAGCTATCTCTTCATCGAAATCACATGAATCTTCGTCTGTTGTATTCAATTGGACATTTGAGCGAGACTGGCTTTGGCAATTAGTACACGCTGGCGAACACAGTAACCGAGCCATTATTCCATGGCTAGAAATTGGCCTCAATGATTTGGGATCGAGGGGGATTATCCCTCTTTATCCTGCCTCATCTCGTGTAGGCCTGGACAGCCTTCGTAGGTGGGCCCCATCCGTCGTCTACCCCGACCGCAATTGCGGCCGGTGTAGGCGCTTTGTGGGACCTCCTTTTGTCCTGGCTGGGCCCCGCCGGCTAGGGCCCTTTCTTCTGGCGCACAGTAAGCCTACTCATCTACAGCCACATTTAGCACTACAACCTTTTTGCAATCGCAAAATATAGTGTTTTTCCGGGGCAGGTGGGAGTAAAGTTTGAATGGGTTCCAAAGTATTATCTGTTAATTTCCCACCCCAGTCTTCTGGGTTCAGTTGATTGCCTAGCCATGTCTGAACTTGATAGTATACTCGATACAAGTGTTGATTAGCAAAAGCCGATGTTGGAGAAAGACAAGATAGTTGTACTTGTTTCTTGTTTCGTGCATTTTTTTACAAAAGTTAAATATTTATATTTATCTATACACAATTTTTTTGAACCTCCATAAACAGCAAGGAGAAAGCGAATTCCTTCTGTGATTATTGTTTGAGGCGAAGAATCAATTTCTGTAAATACTTTAGCACAATCAATCAAATTTTTTTTTTCAAAAAATTTTAATACTGATGTTTTATCCCTTCTGAACATTGCTGATGTAGTAACGCAGCCGGTTATCGCACGTAAAAATAGGAAATGGTTTTGGCATTTTGCATAAGCAGATAAACTTTTTGAAGAATATATTTCTGTTCGCTGTTGAGTCTTTCCAGGTTTTAAAAAGTATATAATTTTATCAATTGGAGTCCTTGTAGTGGGTAGTATTAATAAGTCAACATCTTCACCAACTACAATCGTTGTATTTGTTGCATTAAATTATTCTATTGCTGTTTCAATTATATGGACATTTGTGTAATTTTGACTAAGGGACTGAGTTTCTTTTGAGTGTATATTCTCAGAATAGTATAGTTTATACATATAAGATACACAAATAGGCATTTTTACTTGTATTAAGTGTATACAACACAATAGTTTTATGGTACTAATATAGAATTTATTCTTCTATCTCTTTTTGGATAGAATCAGTGAGTATGTAGGAAAAATGCCTAATAATTTCAAAAAAACAGCTTTGTGACTCATGAAATTGAAATCTTTCAAGTAGAATCTACAACTCTATTTTGCCCTTTTCTTAGCTTTTGGTATCAATTCTGCAGATATCATGAAGACGAAGTTTCTATGAGTTAAAATTGCAGATATAATGTTTATTCCGATTAAATTGGGAATATTTTAATAGACGAAACGAATAATGCTTAATATTTAATCTTATAGGTAAAGAGGTTTTGAAGATGAATGTAGTTTTCCAACTTTCTGATCTAGACGAGTATTAGGTGGTATGAAACGAAGGAGTTCCAGATACTTGCAATCAATGCATCTCTTATCAAAATGTCAGTAGATAGATGAAGATTAACTCACAAACAATTAGAAAAAGTTGTCTTTATCTGCAATTGCCTTGAACCAAGTAAAAACATTATAAAGAATTTTTATAACCGAAGGAAAGCAAGGTCATGCTATAGAATATTGACTTTCTGTTGGAAAATCCATATTTTCCGTTAAAAATTTGCCTCCAGTCGAACGAACCCTGTTCCCTGAACTGCAATTGAAGCGAAAACGGATATCACAAGTTCATTCAAATACAAATCTTCGAACTCGCGATACCGTTCTGATTAAATTTACAGACTTCACTGCGCCCGAGGTTTGACTCGACTTCTGACAATCACTTCCGGTTTCTGAATTAAGAGCTCTCCAATAAATATATATTTTATGTTCAGATTGTCTAATCTCTTTTATTACAGATAATTAAAAAAATGACATTTACGACGAACATATGTCTCATGTTTCAAATGCCAGATTTGAGAATAACGTACAATAAAAGTTTCTCTAAAACGAAGTAGTTTCACAAAAGTACGTTTTTTGTGTAGAATTGAAGAGTATCTTAAGAAAACCGTACTAAGGACCTTAAAAGTCTAACCTCAAAAATTTATTAAATTTTGCTGTAGTGAAAGTAATATATTTTTTTGAATTTATGATAGCGTTTGCGCAAACTGGAAAACCATAAGTAATAACGCAATTTTTTAAGGCATTTTCCGCGTAAAAAATATATAGAATTCTAGCACCCATAGAATATATGGTTAATTTAAGAAATAATTTAATTACAATCTCCTTTGTTCATTAAATCATCTCAAATTGGTTAATGAGACAAAAGAACTATTAAAACAATTATTCACAGTTGCGGTGCAACGAAACAAAAAACCGACGTCCCAAGGTTCTCCATTGTCGGGTATCTCCGATAAGAACGAAAACGCGCTCAGTCGGAACTATTCCTGCAATCTGACATAAAGTAGTCCTTACGTAAACGAGATATTATAAAATAATGACAGGTTGGGTATAACATACCGATATATCCGCACGTAAGCAGCCTTCCTCGGCGAATCGATTGTACCCTGACCAGGATAACCAAAAGGATCCGGTGGTGGTTGGTCAGCTGGCTGCCTTGAACTCGGCGGACAGTTATGAATGCTATTTTGACTGGTAAAAGTGCCGACGTGATTATTCGCGGACAACGCGACTTTATCTGATCGAGAACAATTTTTTTATGTAATACGGTTGCTGAAATTTGAACAATAGTTGTGTTAAATTAAAGCACGTTTCAGTATGCGCTCGTTTTAAAACTGCCTTCGTCATCATTGGCGAATTTTTGTGCCTGGGCCAGTAACTGACTTAATTTTGTACGGAATTTCACCAACCTTTCCCATTTGGAGAAACAATTTTATTTAGAAAGATAATTTCGAGATATATTTTATGTTGTGTCTTAAAGAAGGCTTTGAAAACAAGGAAATATCTTCCTTGCTTTATATTTCCAAAATCATTAGTTGCAAATACATGATAGGAAAACAAATGAGCATCGTTTTAAACGCATACGATCTAAGCTGTATATTACCATAATGTTCAATTTTCCGTAAATATAAATAAAACCGTATTTTTACGGATAGCAACAGAAATGTAATTAAATGCATTATTATTCTTTAAATTTAAATAAGTTTACATAAATTAAATGTTTATCTATAATTCATTCACGACTTTGTTGCATGTAATGTTTTTTTGTAATCGGTTTTTAAATTTATATGTACTGTAAAACAAACATAGACAGTTTACTTTTTATTATAGATAAAATATTACGAAAAATTTACTCTCTTGTGCATATTTTCATACAAATTTCGCAGCTGCTAAACTCACTGTAGGATTGTATTTGCACATGGGGGGGGTTGACATTGTGGCCATCGTTTCCGGTACAACCTAGTCGCCGCGAGCCCATTTTCTCCGGCTGCACCATACACTAACACCATATTGACACGTTCGGAAATAGTAAATGCATTGTTTTCTCGGTTCATTGTAAAACTAGTACGTGCACAAACTAAAAAATTAAGCGAAGTAAGAAATAACGGCACGCTATTTTTATTTTTTACTTGTTTATAAAAATTACACTGTCACTATCGTGGAATTACAAAAAAAAAATTTTGTCTAGAATATTTCACTTTTTAACAGTGATGGGTCGATGGACGATGCTTAATATTTAATAATTAAGTGAATAATGAATTCAATACAAATACAAAATCAGTCGACTGCACAAATCTTTTGACAATGTAACCTAACCTTCTTTTAGTACTACTGGTATTAGATTATACCGACTTAAATTATAAGGCTGCATCTCGGATCACATAAAAACATTTCCAAAGTTTTTAATAAATAACACAGGGTCGGCCTTTATTTTCGTTGAATAAATGAACTTTAATTTACAAAAAAAAAACGCGAAGATAGAACTTTTTCGTATAAAACTTTTCTATTACAAATATCATCAGGAAGCTGTAGTTTAATTTTTATAGATTATACACGCCACACCCTGTATAGCTTAGGGTCGACTAAACAACTTTCTATATAATTTTTTTATCTGACAGAACCAGTAACATGAACTTGAACTTAAACTGACCACTACTGGTACATTTATCCTACGTACGTTCATTTTTTTCCTGTATTAATTATAATATTTCTTTTTCAGTGCCCAAGTCTCCTCTCGTGCTATTTTGAAGATACCTCGACTCTGATAGTATTAATTTTCCAAATTACCCACAGTATTTCAATTCCGTCCGACGCCACTGAAGCCGTCGCAAACTATAAGTAATTCTGATGTAAATATTTCCTGATCTACCTGTTGTAAAAACTTCTTATACACTGCCAACTCAACGGCAATTGTTATTGTATAGATATAGTTAGGTTTAAGTATTTAAGTGATGTTAATAATTGTAATTTATTACATCTGTCAAGTGCAATGTTTATTATTTATTAAAAAGTCTGTTTTAATTAAATCTGTTGGTGTCTTATTTGCCGCTCCAAGAACCAATTTTTTTGTTTTTTTCGTCAAGGGAAAATACTTGAAACAATCCAAAACTCCAACAGGAAATTTAAATGAGTTGTGTATTGGTGTGAAAGGTGGGTAGATTCAAGTTGTTTTAATTTCATTGACAGGTTTGTGAGCTGGATTTTCAAGAGGACACGCGTAAGATGAAGGCATACAAGTGTAAAGTTGATATTACGTGAAGGTTTGTTTTGAGGAAATGTTTAATCAGCACTAAGAAATAATGAAGGAAGTGACTTTTTCCTTACTTTTGTTGAACTTCAGTAGACTAATAAAGAAACCTTTTATGTTCTGACCATGAAGATGATTTTAATAGCTAAGTATGAAAAAAAATCTTTATTGGTTGCTGGTTATATAGATATAAAATAAATAATCATTTTCTTACTGGAATACAGGGTAGGTAGTTTTAAATTTTCCGCACATTTTCAGGACATACGTATTACAGAATTGTAATAGGATAGGTACGTAAAAAGAGTGTCTTTTTACCAGGATGATCCTAAATTGTGTCCTAATATATTTAGTATAGATAGTTTATTTAAAAATAAAGATTACTTTTTCTAAAGAGTGGTTCTCCGATTTTATAAAAGTATATTAAAAAATAAGGGTGCGTTTTTATATCAATTACACATCGTTTTATTGTTAGAGAAGGATGGTAGATCATATTTTCTCAGATATCTTAAAAGTCCTTAGAGGTATCTCATTTGTATTTTAAACTAAGATTTAGGGCATTTGCTGTCTAGTTTACGAACATTCTTACATTTTGCGAAAGAGGTCCTTTTTTTTTGACATTCTATCCGAAAAAGAGATAGCTGTAATCAGGGGACCAACATTATGCCTCTAAAAAATCAAGGCTGACGTGATTAGTTTTCGAAATATTTGAAAAAAAAACGAAATTTTGGTAATACGTTTTTGTTTAATTTCACAATCAGACTTGTTTGAGGTGATATTAAAAAAAGGATTATGCTTTCTCATGACAACTTTTTGGCCTCTATCGAATGTCATAATTAATTTTTATATGTAACGTTTCGTCCTTACAGGACCATTATCACCTTCATTTTTTTAAATACGGCCTTGGACATTTTTTTACATTTTTTGCAAGCCTCCATGACCCCCATACTGTACAGCACGAAGAAGATTAAGATATTTTGCTTAGAAAAATTCATCTTCAATGTATCCGTTCCAAATTTATCTAAATTTTTTATTTAGATTTTATGATTATTGAATTATTGTATACTCTAGGTATCATTAGACCCTGTGAAATCCAGCTATAGTAGGATCACAGTCGATGCAATGTTATAAATTATTGCCTGTCAAGGGATCCAGTGCCATACGCTTTTAAGGGTTTTATAAATTGAATAATTTCTTTATACATTATGACGGGACGAGGGGATCAGTTCAGGTCTGGCACCCTTGTTCCTACAAAAATTCCTTTATTCTCATAAACTATTTATTTTAAATGTAATTTATTATAAATCCAATTTGTTTCCTAAATTCCACATATGTACTACATTTTACCTCTGTACGCGCCACTGTTGTTTACTTGTTTTTTGGAAGCGCTCTCTAATTGACGGCAAAGCTCGCCAGGTTAGTATTTGACGTATAACCGACCACTTCGTACACTCGATGCACTTGGGCGACTACAGCTACTACCAGAACACAGTGCGTATGCACGGTATTATTAGAGTGTTAATGCTGTGCCCATAGTTATCTCCAGGCTTCTCGAGTGGTTAAAATTCAATTTCACAGGGTCTAACGACACTTAAGAGTGTACGATAATTCAAGAAACATGGAAATATAAATAAAAAATTTAGATAAAGATGACAGTGATAAAAAAACCTTTTACAGTATCGATACTTTTTTCAAATAAAGTATTTGGATATTTATTTAGCAGATTTATTAGCAGAAAAGCATAAATATGCACCAAATATACAGTGTTGCATTAAAAAAAACAAAATTTATATTTTCGAAACGTAACAGTCAATTGTTTTTTTATACAGGGTGAGTCACAAATGGTGACCAAAAATGAAACCTCGTATTCTTTAGTGAATTTTACCGGTTTTTAAATTATTCAAAAAATAAAAATATTTTTTGAAGTTTAACCTGTATCTTTTTAACGAAGCATCCGAGATAAATACTTATAGGAAAGACTCCGCTTAAAATTCTCTAAAGAATACAAGGTTTCAATTTTGGTCACCATTTGTGAATCACTCTGTATATTTGTCCTAGAACTTTGACCTTTCCAATTTTCCCTAGACAGACAGATAAAAAAGATAAAATGTTATGTGAATTATTTGCATTTATTAATTTCACAATAATCAAGAATCTTAAAAAGACTACAGTTTTTCTAAATTTTTTAATACAATTCATATCTAGCGTCATTAAAATCACATTTCGATCCACTCGACTTCCCTCAAGTGACACATTTATCAAGAGAACACTGCCTACAAATCACACAAATTACAGAATTAATAACAGCCTTCGTGTTCATGCATATACATTGCATTACGTTAAAATATATAGTTTTTCAGGCAGCTAGATGCAAATTGCCCGTTCTGCGTGTGCTATCCGCATAATAAGTACGTAACAGAATGATTTACCGCAAACGATACATAACAATTAAAACATTTGAATGGCTTCTCGAGTGGAAGTAACCTCATCTAACTGGATCAAGTTTAATGGTGGCGTTACGTAACCTATCACATGCTATTAAAGCGCAATTAGAGCAATTAATCAATTCGGAATGACATTACTGTCGTTCTGTGTTCGGTTCCTTGCCTCCGTAATGATTTTAAAAATAAAGCAGAGGATATATTTTTCAGTAATAGAAGTTACAAAAGGAACATCTATAGAGTAGAATTTATTGACTAAATTGATATGGTTTATTATTTGTGAGGTTTTTAAGAGTATTCATATTTATTTATGAAGATTTGGTACCCAATCAAAGCGATGGAAACTTGGAAAAGTTGTCGTTTATTTGACAATTTGAATGGTTGAACAATATTCGGGCTGGTTGTCGAAAGATAGAAACTATGAAACTCAAACTTATTCCTTTGTTCGATATTTATATTTACTGCAAGCACTGGTCCATAGCAATCCGGTGTATGGGTTGAACATACCTACTAGCCTTGATTCTTCCCAGTACAGTCTTGGTTAATATTATCTGTCGCCCATTAGAATTATAGTATTAGTTTGTGCATCGTGTACTGTATACAATATGCATTAATTATTTCTATATCTTTCTTGATGACTCTATTACTATTGTGTTTTCTTAAGAGGCGATTGTTATAGTTTTTCCGAAGTCAGTTGAAAACGCCTAGCAATAAAATTCAATGAGAAAGATTATACCAGATATTCCTCTTTTCCCTTATTCTTAAATAATCTTCCGTTGGCTTTTCAATATCCTTATACTACATCTATTTCTCCTGAAAACTGAAGCTGACAGTAGATGATGTGTTTACTCATCACCAATCCACTAATGTGTTAGGATACTTAAAGTGTGTTGATATCCTGCAAACATTGTGCCATAAGGTGCCGTTCAGTTTCCTCATGACAAGGACAATGGAAAGGTACCGTTTTCTTCCAAGTCCATAGTGCAGCATGTGTTCCATTAATACAGTCAAGAAATTCGTCTGTTGTTGTATTCATAGACCCAAATGGAAAATATATCATCAATACCTAAGAAGATTTACTGATCTAAAGTTCTTTTCTTGATAACTTCTAAATTGCCAAATTAAGAATGAACCTTCTTCAGTTTGTTCATAAAACGGATCTATCTTTTGTCAAGTGCACTAAATTATTATCCTTNCTCATTCGATGTTAAATGGTTGTTAATGTTTTTGTTCTTCTTTCTATTTGTCACAGGTTTAATTTGAATTGTATGTAAATAAAGGTTAGGTGTATTTACTCTGCTTTTGTTTTATATAATTAAACCATACATCCCCTCTACAAAGTTAGTAGCCAGCGCCTTCCGGTCAATATATATAAAAATAGGTACATACAACGTAGGTAGTCCTTATGACGATCACACATATTTTTTGCCACAACTACGTTTGATTATCTTTTTTATCGAACCTGGGGTTGTTATATTACAATGTGTTTACTCATCACCAATCCACTAATGTGTTAGGATACTTAAAGTGTGTTGATATCCTGCAAACATTGTGCCATAAGGTGCCGTTCAGTTCCCTCATGACAAGGACAATGGAAAGGTACCGTTTTCTTCCAAGTCCATAGTGCAGCATGTGTTCCATTAATACAGTCAAGAAATTCGTCTGTTGTTGTATTCATAGACCCAAATGGAAAATATATCATCAATACCTAAGAAGATTTACTGATCTAAAGTTCTTTTCTTGATAACTTCTAAATTGCCAAATTAAGAATGAACCCATAGCTGCTTCTTCAGTTTGTTCATAAAACGGATCTATCTTTTGTCAAGTGCACTAAATTATTATCCTTGACTTCTGCTTTCGACGTAGCTCTTCCAAAACTTCTGTAATTGGATCTAGTTGGATTGTTTCGGTTTTATTGATAGCTCTAGCGATTTTGTCATGGTGTCCTGTCTCTCCCTTTAAGGACCTCTTTCTTAGGTCTTTAATTTTGTTTGACACATATTGAGAGAGTGCATAATTGGTTTATGAATATTTGAACGCAATAAAGTTAGGTTGTTATTGAGTCACTTAGAATAAGATCTCTGTGCAATTCCTTGAAAATATTAGATGGATTATCAAATATCTTGATTTTGATTTTTTAATACCTTTGTTGAAGAATTTTCAACTGATCAAGATAAGACCACAAAGACAGCCAACCTCATTAGCTATAATAATTTACATTCTTTTTAAACATATATTCCATTATTAGTTTTCGTATTTTTATTCTTTATTTTTTTACGACTAATTCAAACAAATTTAAATTTTTTTCTAATTTTTTTTTTAATTTAACTT